GGCCTCCTCCTCCTTAGACGATTTTTCATCCTCCCTCTCCTCAGGCAATTGAGCCTCAGGGCGAGGACCTAGATTTCCATCAGAGGGAGGAGCAGGAAGAGGCAATATCGGTAATGAACCCAACATTACGGCGACTTCAAAACAAATTCCAAAGCCTGTTAGCCCCTTTCTTCAACGTTGGGGCAAAAATAGGGCATACAAGTAGGCGCTAGCTATCGAAACCAACCTGCAAAATGATGACGCAACATGAGTGCAGCTTAAAGCAAAATCTAAACAAAAATCAAACAAAAGAATACCAAGACAAGAACTCAGTGAGACAAGCAGATCAATAAACATGGAAATTATATTTAACCAAAAAAACACAAGAAGAATAACGAGAGACAGGGAAGACAGTGAAGGAGAGCCACCGACGTTTACAATTTCGCCTTTACGGCGACGAAACCGCGGTGAGGCGAGCACGGACGGGCACACGGAGGCCGAAGGAGCTACAGGCGATTCGAAGAGGGGAGAAGGGTGAAATGATGCGGAGTGCCGGAGTGGGGCGGATTTTATCGGGTCGGACCACATTGGGCGGGACGGCGGCACCGACCTCAGTTGGCATATTGGCTGGATTTTGTCGGGTCGGACCATATTGGGCCTTGAGTGCATACGGACATCAAATCAAGATATGTGTATTATTTTATACCACTAATTATAAGATACAAATGTGTTGTATAAAATAAAATAAAAAGATACAAATGTGATCTTATAATTAGATTAGAACCGAAGGTAGTACTTTATATACTTATTTCCAATCAAGTAAAAATATGTCTATTATTTTATTTTTAATAATTTTTAAAATTTACTTATAATATTTAATTAGTAATAATTATACTAATCTTCATCATATATATTACATCAAATTTTTTCTCTATTTCTATATTTCTTAAATTAAAATGGGAAAATTTATTTTTAATCTCTTTTTGCTTAATTTGACATATATGTATATATAATTTAATCACTTATAAAGTTATAGATAATACATCTCTCACCAACTTAATTTGTTTTTTATGCTACAAATCATATTATCTTTATTAATCAATATTTTATTTGTGCATATTTTTACAATTTTTCTCGAATACAGTCACCTTTATACATAACTTTGAAACATCTTAATTTGTATAATAGTTTCGAGCATACAACCTCTCAAGATGAAAATTATAAATTTAATAAATTTTATCTTAGTTAACCAGATGAAGAATTTTTTTTCGGGAAAAATCTTCTCTTTCTATTGTTATTTGAGAATTTATGACTTATGATTACTGCGCAGTTTTGGGGTAGAAAGTGAATGCCAACAAAACCTGTGTGTCCTTTTCCCGAACGTCAATCACACTAGAGTAAAGGAAATTAGTAATTTTATAGGCTTCACTTCCACCCTTGACCTCGACAAATATGTTGGCATGCCCGTTATCCACCAGAGGGTTACCAAGGCATCATATAAGGTGATCCTGGATAAGATGGACAGTAGACTATCCTTGTGGAAAGCAAATAGTTTATCACTGGCTATGAGAACCACCTTGGTTTCTTTAGTCCTCACGACTATGCCTTCTTTTGCAATGCAAACCGTTCCCCTCCCGAAAGATACTTGTGATAAGATTGATAAGAAGCGTAGGAACTTCCTGTGGGGTAGCACTAGCTCGAGCCGTAAGATTCACTTGGTATCTTGGGACAACGTCTGCCAACGAAGGTCCGATGGAGGGCTTGGATTCCGGTAAGCCAAACATCAAAATAACGGCTTCATGATGAAGTTAGGTTGGTCATTAATCAAGCGTAGAGACCTACGGTGGGTCAAGTTCCTACGTGAAAAGTACAAATGTGGGGTCGATACTATCCCTAAAGTTGAATGTCACAAGGTGGCATCTAGGACATGGTCTGGTATCCAAGCAAACTAGGAAAGTGTGAAGGAGGGGCTGGCTTGGCGGATTGGTGATGGCTGATCAGTATCTCCTTGGAAGGATGCCTGGGTCCCCCATCTGGGGAAGCTTAAGGACTTGGTGCCAGAGATCCCCACCAACACTGTGGATTGGAAAGTGAGTGACTGTGTGTCTGCTTCGGGGTCCTGGGATTGGAATGCTCTCAAAGATCTACTCACGCATCATGTTGTTGAAGCTATTTCTCACGTGCACCTTCATGATAGTAGGGAGGATAGCCCAGTTTGGTGTTGGTCTCTAAATGGGACCTTTTCAGTTAAGTCAGCCTACGACCATATTAGTGGGTGTAGTGAATCTTCTCATCATAGTATCTGGCGTATGTTGTGGAAGCTCAGGATCCCACAGTGTTACTATTCCTTTATGTGGCTATGTGTCAACGACCGTCTTCTCACGAACGAAGCCAGGTTTAGATGTGGTCTTCATGACACTAGAGTATGCGGCGTTTGTGGTCTTATCCTAGAATCTGTATTGCACGCCCTTAGAGACTGTTAGGTTTCGAAGCATTTATGGTGCTTGTTTGTCCCACACAACATGCAGTCATCCTTCTTCGTAGTCAGCAATTCCTTGGAGTGGTTAACTGGGAATCTCAAGACTTCGCTAAGGCTCTGTGGACACAAGTGGAGTTGGTGGTTTGTTATGTTATGCAGACGCCTCTGGCTAGCTCAAAATGATCGCATTTTCAATGGATTCTCTGCATCTTGTACTGACATAATGGAACGTTCTAGATGTGTTCTCGCTTGGGGATCTGTCAATCTGGGTTCTTGCAAGAGGCCTCTAGAAGGTGGGGTTCGATGGGTTCCGCCCGCATGTGGTACCTTGAAGTTCAACACGGATGGGTCCTTCAATGCTGCCTCTGGTGCTTGCTCGTGTGGTGGCCTTACTCATGATAACACTGGGAGCTTTGTCCGCAGTTTCATGTATAAGTTTAGGATTGGCTCTTGTCTCTCGACAGAGGCATGGGGGGTTCTTTAGGACCTCAAGCTAGCTTGGGAGTGGGGCTGGCGGTCCCTCCTTATAGAATGTGATTCTTAAGAATTGCTAAACCTGGTTAATGCTGGAGCCTTGCAAGATCACCCTGACTACATTTTGCTTTCTGAAATTCGGAGTATGCTAGATCAGCAGTGGAAGGTGGCCCTGGCTTTCTGTGACCGTGAGGCAAACTTAGTTGCTGATATGATCGCCAACGAAGCTCAAGCTTTGTCTAATAACTTAGTGATCTTGTCTGAGCCCCCGGCAGCGTGTCGCCAATTCTTCCAGCATGATATGGCTGCAGCTTCTTTCCTTTCCTCTGTTAATCCTTAGTTGTTTGTGTTCTTTCCTCTCCCATTAAAAAAAAAAGAATTTATGACCTGAATTTGGTTATTCTTAACTTCACAAAATTATTAATCATTCCATTCATCAAAATGATGAATAGTAGAAGCCAATTCTTGAACATCACAACTTCATAACCTCCACATTGGATTTTTTTAAAGAATTTTTAGTAGGTAGTATTTTAAAATTCCAAAACAGGTCATATTTTGCGCAGATTACTATTTTCATTTATATCATTGTAACTCCGTGAGTTGGTTTTTTCAACCAAAAAATAAATTTGAAGTCACTAGGCAAAATGAACATTTTGACAAATTGAAATAATGGATCTTAATTCTCTACCAGCACTTTTCGTATTGCATCTCAACGTCTTCAAACCAATATTGTCTAAGTGAAGAATTTTCTATCGAATCTGCCAGCTCAATTAACACCTTGCCCCTTCTTAAATCTTACTATGGAATTGTGTATTCGGCTACAGTCGAGAAAACAGACCGAACCCATTTAAACTTATTTAAAATAAAGGCCAAGCTTATAATTTGAGGCCTCTAAATATAAGTTAAGCTTAGAAAGGCTGGCCTTGTAGAACTAAAAAATAAAAAAGCTAACCCTCTAATACCCCTGGCTAGCCCATTTAATCAATAAGAGTTGGGTCTAGCAGAAGGGACTAGTCCCTCACAACATGACAAATCAATGTTTGAATTCCTGTTGGAAAATGTGCCTACATTTGGTACCCAACAGTGTCTCGAAAAGAATTGTCTCCAATTAGAAAATATATATGCCTTGAAAAAAATATTATAATTATATTTATTTTTTAACCTAAAAAAGAAAGCCCTATGATTGAAATAGAAAAAGGAATACACCTGGTTACTCATAGCAAGTCACTTAGCATATTTGAAGAAAATGGATAAAATTACAATTTTGTCACTTTTTACCCCAAAAAAAAAGTTATTATACATGAAAAATTAATATAAATATAATATAAAATGATTACAATCTATTAATATTATTTTAAAAGCCATCATTGTGAATAAAAATGAGTATTATCTCACTGAGCATAATCTACACATTTTATAGCAATTGTAGATGTATGGTTCAAAAGCTGTTTTTCTTGATTAGCATTTGTTGATTTTTTTTTGTTACAGTATTCTATGATTTTAATATAAATAAAATTTTTAATTTGAAATTAAAAAATAATTTACATCTTCAACTTAAAAAAAGGTAACATGTGAGTTAGCATAATAACAAATTTTCTTTAGAAATTACATTTTTATTAAAAAGTTAAAAAGAGCATGGAAAAAAAATTAAGGAAAATTAACTTTAAAGAAATTTATTATGAAAAAAATAGAACTCAATCATATATCATATATCTCAAGAGCTAATATCCATACTACTAGTTTTTTCTTTCTTTTTTTTCAAGACAATATCTTTAATAAGTCATTTTGTCATTTTATCATTATTTTTTTTAAAACTTGTAAGAAATTTTTTTTGCTAAACGGGCAAAAAGTCCAAGGACTAGCCCACGAGTTCATGGGCTGGGCTTCATAAACGAGCCAGCCCGTTTAAACCTATGGTCCATGAAAGACAGGCCTTGTAGGGCTAGCTTGACCCGTTTTCCAGCTCCATTTCGATGTTTCATGAATGCACTGAGCGTACGAGTTTCTTCAAAGTGAAGAATGACAAAAAATAAAATATCAATAGTTGCCAGACCCTAGCACTAACCTTAACTGTCAGAACCGCTTGGCTCAATTGACAATTCGCATCTCCTTAAATCTTGCGTAAGTATGAAATTGTACGTTCAACCCTCCGTGAATTCCTTCGACCAAGTGAAGAATAACAAAATTTTGACATCAATTGTGTAGCTATAGTCGTCCTCAAAGATCATTAATCACAATGTGGCCATCAATCTTACATTTGACAAGAAACATAGAAAAACACTCGAAATTTACATAGGCCTTCTAGTAAGCTATTAATAGAATTACGTTATATATGGTGACCCTTCCAAGAGGACAGGTACATGTGCCAGAAGATTCCCTGCAAAACACAGAAATATATAGCATTAGTCCCAACACAAAATGTCTTTAAATCAATCCTTTAGTTTGGCTTTTTGTTATTTTTTTCTTTGTTGGACTCTTGTATTCAGCATAAAGGCTTTCTGTTGATACCAATCCATCCCCATAAGAAGTCAATTTAAGCCATTATAAAATGCTATTCATGAACCAAATGGGTTAAGTTTAACAGAAGAAGCTCATCCATCACAACGTGACAAATCAACATTTGAACCTCTGCTGAAAGAGATACTCATATTTAATACCTGACAGCACTTCAAATAAGATTGGCTCTAATAAGAAGATACCTATACGTAGCCCCAAAAAAAAAAAAAAACTATTCATGAATGTGCACTTAAGAATTTGAAACTCTTGAAACTTTTCAAGAAATCCTTAATTGAAACCCCTGAAAGTGGTTTAGAATTTAATATTTGCAACCACATCTTTTCTTGGCTAAAACTATAAGCAAGAGTATGCTTCAAATCCACAGGATTTTCTTGAGAAGTGGTATGCTCTTAGAAAGCTATTTACGGACTTCTCTTTAGGGGCTTAAGTTTTTGTGTTGACCAAGTTATTGATGTGTGCAACAAGGTAAGTACTTTTTTGGTTGAAAAAGGGACCAATATGAATATATACCTAACTCATCTTGCCCCTCTTTAACCATTTATGCTGCTTCTTGTGAAAGAAGTGCAACTTCAATTTCTTGTAGTGACTTTCCTTTTGTTTCCACAACATTATTCTTCACAAATATCACTGCCACCAGACAGAATGCGCCAAAAATAGTATACAGGAGTTGTGCCCCGAGTTGTTCCAGCAAGCGCAAAAATAACAGACCAACAAAGAAATTAATCATCTGTAAAAGAAAAGCGCATCAGCAATCTCTGAACTTGATTCCATTGGGCAAGAAAGAGGATAGAGCAGAGAAATAAGGAAGAAAATAATACAGATAACCGTAGTAAAAAATGACATGAAACTCAACAGAATTAAACATGTCACGACAGGATTATCATGACCATACTTTAAATCGTCAATATTTAGAGTAACTCACCGCTACTTAACCTCAACCAAACTAATACACGAGCCATGAAAGTGAACAGAATTACACATGTCACGACAGGATCATCAAGACTCAAACTAATAACCATCTCAATATTCATAGTGATGTAGCATTAGGTCACCAATTATCTGATTCATAAGCTTAGCTCACAGACAAAGGAGCCGCAAACACTCCCAGGAAAGATTGCCAGTGGAAGTTAGTTTTAAAACTCACATTATAAACATAACTAGCAGATCTGTCCAAGGTGAATATGGTAATGGAAAATGCAGTGAGGGCAAACATTATAAACTAGTTTCTAATTTCATGAGATAGGTCAAAAAAGGGAATAGAAAAAATGAACAATTGTCCGCTGAAAGCATTAAACAGGAATAAATTCAAAACGAATTACCCAATGCACAGCCAAGCAAATTGCCAATGCCTTTGCCCTGATCCTGCTGGGTAATATTTCTGATAGCAGAAGAGAAGGTACGGGACCGGCTCCCACAGAGAATGTCAGGACAAACCTGCATGGTCCATTCCACTTTTAGCAAACCCATCATAAAAAATGATTTTTTTTAATAATTTGAATTAGATCTTTCTCCATTTTAGTAATAAATTACACCCCCCATAAAGAGATGTCCAAGTTACATGCCGCCATTACGTTTTCCTGTTGCTCTGTGTGTGTGTGTTTTAATTTAATGTATGATATATGATTTCTGATAATTCATTTACTCTTTTTTACCGCACAATTAGATGTGAAGTTCTCTGATCACTCACATCAACATGCCACCAACAGATAAATACATTGCTCCAGACCCTGACGCCAAAGAACTTGCAGCAATAACTTGGAGACCCATTGCCACCGCCTAAACCAACAAAAAGAGTAAGGTCAGATAATAGAGTTCTCATGACCTAAAGTCAAATTCTATGGGAAATTTTACATTTGGAGATGAACTAAACTTGGCAATAGTGTCATATGCATGCGCCTACTATTAACATGGCTCAGAAAATTACAATAAAGAGTATAATGAAATTCAATCTTTGAAAATATAGTTTCAGCAATATTCTGGTATTCAGGTTTTTTTCCTCCATACCATGCCCAAAAAGCTCCACAGGAGAAGCGCTTTCCTTCCAAGTTTATCCATTAGAATCATTGCAAGAACAGACCCTAAAGTTACAAACAACATGATCAGTCAAATAGAGAAATCACCACAAAAGCAGTAAAAATAGTTTGGACTAAAAAAAAAGAAAAACATACCCAGTAAATTGCAAATTCCTACACATGTGTTTGCAAGGCCAGATGGGACACCAAAGGTTTTAAAGACAGCCGAAGAGAAATAAAAAACAGCATTTATGCCAGATAGCTGCTGTAAAGCAAAAAGCGTAGATCCAATGAACATCACTGCAAAAGCATTACTCATTAACTATCAAGCATTTATCTAGAAGAAACTATGTTGTACAAACGACCTAAACAATATATATATATATAGATATATAGATAGATAGATATAATATGTACCTTTGAAATGACGGCCACAGAGTAATTCTGAAAGTTTCACCTTATCAGTCTCATCATCTCTTCCAGTCCTCAACAGTTCAGTCATTGCAGGTTTCACATGTATCCCTCCCAAGAGCTTCTCAAATTCTGCTTCAGCCTCATTGCTTCTTCCCCTCTGAGCAAATTCAAAAATTCAAAAAAATTACAAGCGCCAGGATAGACAGATTATCTTAACGGATCAGATAAATACGAAGCACATATAGAAAGAATTAAAGAAATACAGACAAGAGGGATGTGCCCGGCACGTTATTCCTGCTATAGGTTAGTTGTCCAAAAATGCTTTGAAAATGGACATCAACATTGTTTAATCCTTGTTTAATTTTTAGGGGGCTATCAAACATAATGAGGGTGCAAAGTCACGAAGAGAAACAAGGAGAGAGAATCTCATTCGTTTGCATGATTAAAGGCAATATGCCTTTAAACAACATCACATCAAAATATTCTCCAGTCTCCACAGAAGGGGCGCAAGAGAAACAGCACTTCAAACTCCTTAATTCAAAACTGTTATAATAAACAGCAAAAATAGTAACAAGCTTTATGCGACTAATTAAGGCTGGCAATATTGACCACACAACATCATTTGACTCTATCGACAAGTAACTTTTCAGATATTTAACTATTATGACTGGTTGTGCCACTGCTTCTACCTCTGAAGCTATCTGTCTGTCTATCCAGGCAATAAACTTGGTAAATCTCATACTTAAACATCTATAAGCTGTGATGAGGACCAAAATTTTCTATTTCACTCAATCAATGAAACTCACTAAAATGATCAAATAATATGAAGTTTAAAGCATGTTGTGCTGACTAGGTTCATGTAGTTAGTTACGTATAAATGAAATGGAAGAGTAGATAACCTTATAAAGCCAATGAGGACTCTCAGCGCAGAACTCCATGAAAAAGGCCAGTATTGCAGCAGGAATGGCAGATACCCAGAAACAAATCCGCCACCTGATCATGTTACATAATTACCTTTCAAAAATACAACTCCAAATCAAGGAAATTGAGAAAACTGAGATTAATAAATAACTCTACAGTAAAAATATATTCATAAGCTCTTCAAACACACACAAACACATCCATCAGCTTCACTTAGTCCATTTAACATTCCATACCAACCCACTAATTCTTTGGATGGGAATCCAATAAATAGAGAGCCCATAAGTCCAAAACATGCTGCAATTTGAGTTACGCTACCAAAAGCACCCCTTACAGCTGTGGGTGACACCTATTATAGCAAAAGGATTTAAAGTAAGTATTTGGCCAAAAACAAAAGTTCAAAAGATCTTTACAATTGAGAAATAATGTGATCTCATAATGTAGCAAAAATCTTGATGCTATCGTCACTTATATATACCTCAGCCACATAAAGAGCTGCAACAGGTGGGCCAAGTCCCATTCCAATGCCAACAAATAACCTTCCCAAAAGCATACCCCACAGGCTTTTTGTTGTTGCACTGCAGTAGCAATTCATTAGTTTATAGCTATATATATCTGATTAAATAGAAGGACATCTTGGAGCAAAAAGACATTAATTTGGACAACCCTAAGAAAGAGAACTTTAACTCATATGCAAGAGAGAGTACATTTGAATAGAGAATTCCACTATTTCATCACAATGATCATTAAAAGTTGCAACATAATCTTTTCTCATTCTCAATTACTTCAGCTTGAAAGCAAAGACATTATCTGGACAAAGTTTCTTGCATCAACTAAGAAGCTAAATTAAATGATCACCCATTTATTCACTGAACAAAAAAAAAAGGAAATTAAATTTCACAGCTTGCATAGTTAAATAAACAAATTAGAGAAAGATTACCCCACCCTTCAAACTAAAACTTTGATAGCATGGATATATATATACGCACTCCTCTGGTTTTATTTATTACGTACTTCCAGCATGTTTTACACAAACCAAAGAAAACCTTAAACTGCATTAACTCTCTATTAAAATATAACAACTTTTCAACTTCACCCCTATATAATATACACACTTTTCAAAACATATAACTATCTAAATTATAATAATACATTCATGCTGAAAACTATCTATAAATAGGACCAAGAAAAATCTTCTCTCTCTGCTTTATAAATAAGACTAGAGGAGTATATTGCTAATAAGAATAAGAATGATGTAAGACGGGAAGATGAAACGGGGAGAGATAAGGAAGCAGGAGAGAGAGAGAAGGTTTAACTCTTTGAACATTATCACAGCAAGCAATATGCAATTACAATCATCAAAAGAAGTCTCTTTCCAAAATACATTGAGTGTGTGTGTGTGTGTGTGTGTGTGTGTGTGTGTAAAAGAACGCACTTGCTATTTGCTAATGCTTCCTTCTCAGGTAGAAAACAATCCAGCTGCTCTGCCAACTTAATAAAGTAAACATAAAAAAATAATAATAATAATAATTGAAGCATGAAGTATCCTTCTATATTGAGTCTTAGCAAATTTCCAATCAAAGTATGGGTTTATCATTTTTTTTCTCAGAAGGCCTCTTTATGTCTTGTAGAACAAGATCACAATATTCTACATATATAACAGTAAAATTTAATTTGCAATCAAGCGGAAGATACCTCATTGATGCCCCAATGATCATAGGCAAAGCACATAACTGGAATGCCCTTCTACGTCCGACCCCATCTGCAACCCACCCACTGAACAGAGATCCAACAAAAGCACCACCCAAAGATGTACTTACTACCAGACCTTCATCAAATATAGAAGAAGGAAAGTACATATTTTAGATCCATAGAACAAGATAAAAGATTTAAAGCCAACCAGATAGAGTACCTTCAGCCATGGTGTTCCCTCTAAACCCAAGGTCTATAGAAATGCTCTCTAAGGTTTCATTGACTACTCTGCATTAGTACAGACAAAAACAATTAAAGCTAATAACATCTTCCCGCAGAAATTACAGACATAAGAAGAATGAAGATCAGCCAGAGCATCAGCGTGAGACGCACCCAAGATGATAGCCATATAAAAATGAAGAAATGGAAGCCACTAATATATGCCGCAATGAGCGCTTCCAAGAAGGTTTTCCAGTCAGTAAACGCCCTGAAGACGTGAAGAGTGAAAAGCAACAATATCATGAGAACAAATTTCTAACTAGTATTCATAAACAAGATAGAGTAAAAAAACAAAAATGCAGACTCAAAATTTTCACTCCCATAGAAAGGAAAAATGTGAAACTGGGACAAAAGAAGAGATGACCCAGAAGCTCAAAAAGTTTGTGGAATTGTTACATAGACTTTACCTAAATATAGAAGGTATGGTTTATCTTGTTTTCTAATCTTATGTGCATGGGTGCATGCTGTTTATATTTATTTCAAGTAAAAAATAACAAGCTCATAGGATGATGACTTGTCAGTGTACAACAAACTTGAGCGTACTTTCACATTAATTATCATCAGTATAAGTACGACCCAAACCAATATCGTACTTCTGTTAGCATGAATTTTCAGGAAAATATATCAAAATATCTAATGATAGTTTATTGAATAGCTGGTCTTAATCTGTTTTGAAGCGACCTTTTTATTTATCCATTTTCTAATCTAACCCCAAAAGTTCGTTTAAGATGCTATATTCTACTCTGGTTTTCTAACTATGTTTATCACTAATAAATAATCACATTATAAAATCACGAGTGGCAAGGTTTAGGTGATGATCAAGGGTTCAAAACTGTGTGATGCAATTGGAAAAAAAATAATTAAAAGTTCCTAATTTGAAATTTTGTTTCCTAAAACAAACGCAACTAATTTTATTAATCTTTGAACAAACACGTATGATCAACATATGCTTTAAAAAGATAGTAACATCTGAAAGGTAGGGGAGGGGGAAATACCTGAATTTTCTTCTTTGTCATACGAAATTATGTGATCCTTGGAAGCCACTCGCTTGTACGGATCAATAAGTCGTCCCCGCATGTCGAAATGGTACAAGCCTTTTCCAAGCCCCGCAAGAGAAAAACCTTCCCCCGACTGCATCAAAATAACAAACAGCAACCATATAGTTCTGAGTTATAGTAATCAACCAGCTGTACGAAACGACTAATTCCTTAGATCTAACACTCCACAACATTTTGATCGCATGGGCAAAACAGGGGAGCAAGATGGTTTAGCATTTATCCTCGTTTCTCAAACCCGGGAAAAACCGAAACTTACCATTTCGTTCAAAATAGTAGGACATACAAATCGGGATACTTCTCCCAATAACACAAAAATAGAAATGCAAGTGCAAACGTAAAGAGAAAAGTTACGCGAAGGCGCGCACACATACATCCGTAAGTACCTGCATTGATTTATATACTCAGAAAAGAGAGATAGAGATCTGAAAAATGAGTACCTTCCTCTGTGGTGGAGACCTGGAATGGCGTTTCGAATGCAGAGATCGAAAGAAAGCGATGCGGTTGAATCTAAAAAGCGTGTGCGAAAGAAGATTATGAGAAAACTAAGTGAATGAGATAGCGGGCCCCAACGGCTGAAATGAGAGCAGAATGCTGCAGAGCGACGTCAGTGTCAACTTCCTCACAACAAGAAAATGAGGAGATCAAAGGCGAAGATTTCAAAGACCGTTTTCCGCATAGGACGGAGGGGGAGTATAAGCACTTTTGCATTCAGAGATTTTAGGGAAGAAGGAATGCAAAATGTAATGAAACTACGCAACCACCCACTTTGGTGGCGTCATTTGGCAGAGAGCTCTCCGTGGATAACACCTGTGCGAGGAAGAAGGGGAGGAATTATCTGATGCCCTCGCGTGCAGCGTAGGCTTCTTGCTCCTCCTTCCTTCAACTGTAGGTGTCAGTAGAGCTGCGTTGTGACCAAGAGTATCGCCACGTGTCCGTAGGTGAGAATCCACCATAGATTTCGGAGAAATAGTTTTGCTGCTCTTACAAGTCTTCAGTTGTTTTCTTTTGTTTTTCTTTTACCTTCTTTGTCCTTTCTGTCGGTTTTCACCCAGAAGTTTGCCTGATGTTTGGTCAAATTCAACCATATTTTCCTCAAATTTAAGTATTAACAGACATATTGGTAAATTTGGCAAAAACATGTTATAATTGGTGAGTTTATGATTATCCGCTCTCTATTCAGGCCAAAAAAGAAAGAAATCTCTGCCCTCTAAAATCTAACAGCATTTTGAAAGTGAGAACAGTCTAAAAACTGCAACATCTAATCTATAATCTATTTAGATTAATTAGCCCAATTTACCTAGTTTTTAATTTTAAAAAAGATACATTTAATACTCATCTAATTATAAAACGCAAGACACATTTTATAATATAAAATTAAAAAAGTATTTTATCATTGAAAAAGAAAAATCCTAGCTTTTTATGTTCTAAACATGCTTGCTTTCTAATCACATCAATGTATGAGTATTGAGTATCTTGTAACATTTTTTTTTTATGTTATCAATACTTTAGAATTCTCTTATTTTGATTAAAATGGACCAAGGTATATTAATAGTATAATTTTTTTTCCTACTGAAAATTATACATTGATTTGATTGTATCTCTTCTTTTTTTGACTAGCTTGATTGTATCTTATTTTAAAAAAATTAATGAAAAAGATACCCAAAAAATCATGCATTCACACATTCATGTGTTTGACAAAGAGAGGCGCAAAGAAGATTATGTATGAGATAAGTAGTGCACTATTACATTCATTAATTCTTGTTTCTATATTCATCGAAGAACGCACAACATGCAGTTTTTCGTTGGACTGTTTATAAATCTAGACTGGTCAATAGATATTTCGATTGGAACTTCTGTATATTTAAGCATAACATTTTTTTTTTTGAATAATTTTGCTTAGTGATTAATTAACTATGCTAATTGAATAATTGAATAATCTCTTTTAAAAATTGGAAACATGTGAAAGAGCTCCTTTAAATTTCGTTTATTAAAGAAAAGCATTAACATAACATTAGTGTCATTTAAATAAATGATCTTGGATACCATTTTCTTTATTAAATAAAGGAAAACACAGCCATGATATGTACCAGTCTCAATGTCAATAAATGAATAAACGTACACCAGTCACCCCATCAAGAAGGTATTGCGTTAAGTGGAGAGTGGAGACCCTGCACCTCTTTATATATAACTCTCTCTCTCTATCTATCTATCTCTCTCTCTCTCTCTATATATATAATGTGCTTTCTAGTTGAATTCTAATGGAGACTGGTCAGCAACTTTCAAGTAAATTGTGTCTCATTTGATAATTATCAAACCTCAATCAAGCAAACCTTGTATAGGTCTTCAGTCTTTGTTGAAATCACAAGCTTAAAAAAAAAAAATCCATTTCTTGGTGCTTTGTCTCAATCAGAAGTTTCAAAATTCTTTGGAAGTTGCAGTGATTTTGGCGTTGAGAAAATTGACTATACAACCTTGTAGTCATTATACAGATTACATATAACAAGGTGACTTAAAGAATCTGATTTCAAGATAGGCAATATATATATATATATATATCTCTCTCTCTCTAGAGACTAAAGGCATTAAATTTCAATATAACCACCTCTTTTCTCCAAGCGAAGTTAGGCGCTAGCCGTTGATGAACTCACTCTCTGGATCTGTGAACAGATCAAGCAAGGTTAGAATGAAAAGTGGACAAGATAGAAAACAGAAATAGCAAATATGAAATGGAAGCAAGAGATAGCAAGGGCGAATACCTTGTTCACAAGTAAATTGACTTGTTCCCTGTACATTTCCTTCAAGTCCACAATATCCGCACGAAGTTCCTCCAGCTAGACAAATTTAATTACTTTCAGATAGAAGCTAACTATTTCTTTCTTTTCTAAGCTTTCATTAGTTAAAATGCTGATAAGCTACAAGATCAATTAAGACAAACATATTTCTCATTTGGCTGCTAGTGATAACAACTGAGACAATAATTTCTAAGAAAGTTTATGAAAAGGGGCCATCACGATTGTCATGTTTTGCCATGGTTTATCTAATCACTGTCAACAGCGAAATAAAATATAACATGTCATATTTTTTTAACTTAAAACGTACCTCCTCATCACGTTCTCCCATCAACTCCAAAGCAGCAGAGTGCCTCTTCCGCAAAGCTTCTAACTCTGCTCGTAAGCCAGGCAACATGGCAGCCTCCCCACGCAACTTCTCACACTGCAGTGAGTGGAAGAGAACCAAATTTAATAATATGACAAGCAAAGATACCATAAAGTATGAGAACTCGGAAGTTGAAACTCACCTGTCCCGTCATTTTCACCAACTCCTCAGCAAGAGAATCACGGATAGATTCCATTGATGCCTGAATTATAATTAAATATAAAGGTCATCAGTATCACAAACTTATATCAGTTATGATGCATGGGTTCGTACCAGTTGGCTTGTACATTATAACAAGTTTCTGATGCAAAAGAAACCATAGATCTATGATTGGGAAGTTATTATGTTAGATCAAAGAACATAGAAGAAAACCATACCAAACGTGACATATATGAAGCAAGTTCGCCCTCCTTTTGACGAAGTGCAGCTGCAAAAGCATTAGGTGTCATGCTCTTAATATAGTAAGAACTCATGCTTGGCTCTCCAAGGTTTCTTCTTTCGGTGAAACTGTCAGATGTGTCCAGTGACGCCTGCAGAAAATAGCTTTCTTCCATGCTTCCCAAGGAGCTTGCACTAGAGACTTTCCGAGACAGGTTGCCTACATAATGAAATATAATTTAGAGAATATTACAGGCTCGTAAATTGAAGGGAATCAGAGAGCATCCTACCATTCTCAGAAGCAGGAATTTTCTTCATTGCGGGAGTGTGGTCACGAGCAGTCCTCTCCAAATCTGCCCGTGCAGCCTTTTCCTTTTCAATCTCCTGGCCAAAATGAAGAACTCAATTCGGTAAACTTGATAAACAATAACCGGAAAGATTCTAATAAGATGTCTAGAATTCAACCAATAATCAGGAATATGAGGCATTGTCAATTTTTGATACACGGATCATGTACCATATACAAGCTCCGTATTCTGGATTAGATTGCTAATATTTCTGTATTTTTGGTATCAGTATCCATTGCAAACAACGCACAGAAGGATGCTCACCAGTCCCACACTCTCCAAGCTCTCCTCAGATTCTAAATGTAACTTGGCAACTCACAGATGTTTATGCAATTTTCGTGAACCAAGAATATCTGATTTTTATTCATCTTATTTTCACCGCCCTTCCTAAAAGTTCTTCCTCGTTCATGTTTTTTTTATGGGCATGTAACATCTCTGACTCCACCATTTAATGTTCCATAGGATTAACAGGTCCACACAACCCTAAGATGACATTTTCTTTACTATTTACCCATAATTAAGAAACACGAATTGGATCACATTTATTCCATTTTGTCCATTAAGAACATGATGAAAAGTGCATGGAGGTATCTTGAATACATTTTTACAAGCTGATCTTACATAATAAAAGCTGAAGTTCCATGAAGGCAATGATTCTGTTTATTGTTATTAAGAATACTGATTAAAGAGGAAGAATTAATTTTAAAAGCTTGCATGCTTAATGAGGGGAAAAAATACCTTAGATCAATTCATGCCATTAACCCAAGAGTGATAAAGATGCAAAATATTATGATTAAAAATGTAAATTTCGTTTTACCCAAAAAAAACAAAAGTAAACTTTCAGAGACAGAAGCAGAAGCTCTACCTGCTGTAGACGTTCCCTCTGAATTAATGCCTCCTGCAACTCTTGTTTGTGTTTCTGCCTCAGTTCCCTAATCTCATCTTCAAGTTGTCTCACACGACCTTCTTGAGTGTCCGCTTCCTCCTTGGCTGCAAGGTATTCCTGCCTATTTTCAGCCGCCCTTTGTCTCTCCTTCTCAAGGGATCTACTTAACTGGTTCTGTTCAGCTCTTAGGCATGAAATCTGCAATTCATACCTAGAATAAGTAATACATGTGCAAACCCATCATGGTCATGGTTTACTCAAGAAATTACAGAACCTGAGCCTCAAGGACATTAATTCGAGACAAGGTTTGAGATAAGCGTTCATTTATGGACCGCTCTCTTTCTTCAGCAGCTGCAGCTTTAGCCTCTGCTTCCTGTAGACTCAATGGGAAAAGGGCTAAGCAGTCTATTAATATTTCGATGAGATGATTTTTAGAAACTCAAATAAGGAAGAAGTCCAGTCACCTGAAGTCGAGAATTAAGGGTTCTCTCAACGGCAGCCCAAGCTTCTGCCCTTCTGGCATTTGTTTCCTGTTATCATGCTTAATTCTAGTCAAATACAACCTCCTAACTGAATTAAGAAACTAATGAAAAAAGTATTTTTCATATATAACAACCGTAAAGAGGGGGGAAAAACAGAGAGAGTCTTAATATGCATGTTTACCTGCATGGCTTCAATTTGCCTTAAAAGCGGTCTTGTAGATTCTGGAACTTGTGTAATCAGTTCCTCACAACGTCTTTCACTTGCCTACATTAGACAGTAAACGTTGAAATGCAAAAGAAAAGTTGCTACAATTTGAACAAATCAACAAGGAAAAATTTATCATTTAAAATACAAGCAGAGCAAGAAAGCAGACCTGATATCGGTTTTGAAGATCCTCAATGTCCCTGCGAAGCATATCTTCTTTGAAGACTGCCTGAAAATGGATAATGAATACATTGATAAGAATAAATTTTTAAAAGCCAACTAATTAGAAAGAATGACATGAAATGTGACAAAAACCTGCTGTTCCTGTCTACTCAAAGTTTGCCTCAATTCTTCAAGTGCCTGGACCAGCATAGATTCACGTTCCTCAGACTCTCTTAATCGACTCTCTACTTCAGTTCTGGCTTCAGTGTTGGCACGTGCCTCTGCTAATGCTTCAGCCTCCTTCGCAGCAGCCAACGCATTAGAATAATATTCTTTCTGTGCAGCAATTTCTGTTTGATGTTTTTCTATTGTTTCCTGCAATAACTTCTCTGTAGCCAACTTGTCCCTCTTGATACTCTCTACCTTATTCTCCTCCACCTGGCTTACATGCCATGAGCCAGACAGCAGTTTGCAGGAGTTTAAGATACAAGCAAATCAGTTATTCAAACTTAGACAACAAGATCAATGGTAAAAGAGTGTTGTACCGCTTATACCACATAAAATTTCTATGCAATCAGGTTTCACAAGAGCGACGAGATGAACTTAGGAAAAAATTACCAGCTAACAATAACTCCAAGAAATGGTTTCATAGCTAAATTACCTGAAGTTTAGTAGTCAAACCTTTCTTCTCCTCCTCAAGCTCTCTAATCTAGCTTTCAAAAAAAATTTAAATAGAACTTTTAATGCATTATGTAGGAAAACGAAAATATTACAATTTAAGGAAAAATGCAGTTAGTAGCCTGCCCACCTGAGCCCTTAATTTCCTCATAGTAGCTTCCTGAGCAGCCTGCTTTTTTGAAAGCTCTTCACCTGAGATGAACCCAATCTAAAATGAAGAGGATTTATTTTTGCTCAACTAACTGAACTCTTAGGATGCTACAACAGATAAACTTCTAACTTACAAAAGCAATTCCAATTTGACGACAAAATTGAACAGTAAGGTTCACAAAAATGTGTGTGTGTGTGTGTATCCATGACACAAAATAACTCTTCCCCGTCTGATGCTCTTTTTCCTCCAATATACCTTGTCTATTACAAAAGCAATTCCCATGATATGGCAGTATATGTTTATTAAATAAATTAAACGACAGTAAGGTTCACAAGCCAATTTTAGAATACATTATTCTTTACATCGAAAGCTCTCTTCTCTCCAATACACCTGGCACAACACATTTCACCACTGCTGTAAAGTGAAAGATTAAGGGCATGGAAGCGCAAGGTTTCCAAATTACACTTCACAAGTCCATTTAGGAGAACTCACCTCATAAGATAAGTGAAACTACATTCAAAACTTTTTTGAATCTTTAGATCCCATGACTAGTCAAATATATCCAAAATAAACATCCAATCAGCATCGAGATGTTCAATACCCCAAAAATTTGAAATTACCATCACGTGAGACTACGTTCTCAGTTAAGCTTCTTCAAAAAAAACATTTGGTGTTTTAATAATAGTGCTAGATCCCTCCAATATAAATCCAAATTTGAGACTGCACAGGGGCCAATTCCTGAATCCAGCTAAGTTTTGGACACAATACCCTAATGACCTGTTTATTTAGAGTCGTAGTTTATCATCTAAAACATCATCATGTCATCATATCTAAAACCATTAAAAAGTCAGAAAAATTATCTATCAACAATTTTGACGAGACATTTTTCATTGGTTTTTTAAAAGCATATCATGTTCGTCAATAATATAGGATTGGTTACAGATATCACTCTACCTTCAGCCATAACCTGAGTAATTATTTCATCCTTTTCCTTCAATAAAGCAGCTGCATCACTTCTTTTACTCTGCTCTCGTCGAAGCGTATCTCTTTCCTTAGTGAGAGCATACAACTGCAATTATTCACAAAAATGCAGAAAAACTGCAACAGTTATTGCAGAAACTAGACAGCCTAGTATCAAAAGCTTAGACATAAATCTAATAATCCACTTTGATAGATCAAATTCTGCAAGAAATTGCTAACATGGAAATACCAACATGGCAATGCGTAAATTAAAATACTAAGGCCTCATTTGGCATCACATTTAAAATCACTTATAAACACGTTTCATGTAAGTCAAGACAAAACTCCTCTCACATAGTTATTTTGTACTCCATAAATCACAATTAAAAAGCTGTTTATAAACCATTCCAAATGGGCCCTAAATCTTCCTTAGAGTGAATTTAAGTTCTTTCACTAAGGTTTCACGGGAACCATATGTATATCATAGGCACTGTTATTGCTAACATTTGATTGGTAAACCTTCATTGGCTCATAATATAGACAAAGCATAGGCCAAATAAAACAGAAAAGTCTTAAATCAATCAGAAAACCAATATATTTCCATGTTATAGGACATTAACAACGCAATTTGTTCAAATCCACCAATTTCTATACCTTCAGATTTTAGCCGAGATATAAGGCATATGACCTTATGCATATTGCTCAATGAAAAACAATATAAAAGGTTGAGATTATGCAAAATACAGAAACAAATTTCAAATGCAAGAGCCACATCGCATCAAGTTAAAGCACGGGGTTAAAATTTTCTTATTATTAAGAGAAACTCCAGGCTCATCCCTTAAATTTTTCGGGCATTAATTGGGGAACTTTATGAACTTTATACTGCATCTAAGGTAGTATCCTAAAGAACCTAATGCCACATCTGATGATAGATTATGTCACTTTACTTTCAACATGCTGCATGTTTTGTTGGCAGTAACAAGGTTAACTGAAAGTATATTTAAAGTTTTAAACTACAGAAAGCTATACACAGATTTGCATCCAGCCTTGAGTGAACATTATAAATAACTTTGACAGACAATGCAAATGACAAAGAATTACAATGAGCTATACCTTTCGCTCAAGAGTTGCAACCTTCTGATGATATTCCTCTCGCAAAGTCTCAACTTCTGCCTCACTGGATTTTCTCTATTCCATGAGCAACAAGAATAAAGAAGTGGGAAATCGGGATAAGCAGAACATGATAAAATTTATATTTCAAAAAAAAAATCCTCCAAATACTTTACAAGGACACAAAGGGACCTCCCCGGGAAAATAAAAAAATGGCACATGATAAGTAGGAAAAAGAAGCATCCAAGCTTGGTTATAAGTAAGCAAAAGAGTATGCACATAAAAGTTCTTTACATGCATTGCCTAAAAACAATAGTCTTTGTTTGATTTATAATACTGCTAGATCTGACCCAAGCTGAATTAAGAAGTTAAACGATTAAACCCAAGAAATTCTTGAACTGCAGAAAGTTCTAATAGAAATGACCATTATGCTGCTGAATGCCCACATCGTCATAACTCAGGAACAGCTCATTTTTTCATGACATCGACACAAATCTTACACATATTGTCCAAATAATAAAATATGTTTTTCCATAATATCAGATCATGTAAAGGAAAAGGAAAATGGGATCCAAGGCTAGCACTGATTCGAAGTAAACAAAAAGTGTCAATTCAGCAGACACAAATGAACACGTGAATGACATTTAAACGACTTGAACGTTGAGGAACCAAATAAAACACTAGGGGACAAACAAGGAAATAAAAAAAATGATATACCTTTAAATCCTCAATCATAGCTTTCATGTGTTCATTTTCACCCATCAATCTGGCTATCTCATCAGCTTTGGCCTGCAAAGAAATTTAATAGAAACATCAAAATTACAAAATTGCAATAATATGCTGGGTTCAACACATGAACAGAGAAGACCAAAGGAAGAGTAGGATAGATACAACAGGCATGCAGCTTATTGATAAAATGAGACACTGAGAAGAAAAGTACCAAGAGCAAATGAGATTTGACAGCTAATAGATACCTCATTTTTGGGGTAAGGCAATTGCAACAATTTGATACCTTTAAAAGGGTATGGATGGCAAAGGTAGTCCTTAAGATTTGAAGAGATTCAAGGACTATCAGGATGGTAAAATTTTTTAACAAGACTTGATATTATCGGAATACAGCACAATGTGCATTAGGGAAAGTGAGCATGCAAAACTGACTGTGGTAAGAATATTTATCACAGGACAATTATCAATCAGACTAAAAATTGCACAAAAATATGAGCTTTTGAAAAAGTGAATTGGGAGCAGGACTTTACAATCTGACCTCTGAACACTACTTTACAATCAATATTTTTGTTATATAGACAAAAGGCTTGATAATTTATCTGCTCGAAGACAAAAGTGATTGAAACTTAAATTTTTTTAATTAAGAAGAAAAGGATGAAGGCAAGTTTCATCATGTTCTCATGGTTAAACTTTACAAGAACTCGTCCCTAAATTGCCATCCAGCCTGAACTTTTACAGTATCAAGATTCAAGGAAAGTTACACGTCAGGGAAAAATTTTTTTGCTAGGATGATTAGCACAGAAAATGAAATACCTGAGCTTGTCTTGCAGCACCTTGGAGTGCAGTTTCCATCATTTTCATCTCGCTCTTCACTTTCTCCAGCTCAAGCAAAGAATCTGAGTCAGAGTTATCCATTACAGAATTGGGATGCTGCTCTTTCTTGTCAGTTTTAACATCATTGACTAAGTGATCCCCTTCAACTGCCCTGAGAATTTCTTCATTTTCGTGCAAACCCAAATTGGGTAGCACATTAAAAGACTCATTTTGAGGACTAGCATTGGTTAAGTGTTCATCATGTGATAGATTAATGCTATCAGTTTCCTCAGTAGCCACAGAATGCAAAACAGGAGGCTTTGTCTCATCTCCACCTTTGCTATTACCAGATTCCTCAGATTGTGCTGGAGAAACTTGCTCCATAATAGCTTCTTCTTGCACCCTCTCTTCTTTCCTCTCCTCTTCTGTCTTGGCTTGGAAATTATCTTGCACATCAGTAACACCATGCAGCTCACTTTGCTCACTCAAACTACCCTCAACTTGATCCTTCCCAAGATTAACAGGCTTGAGTTGTGCTGGCACTGGACTTGCAGTATTCTCAACTTCATCAATTTCATTCTCTTGAGGACCGTCAACAGAAACAGAACGTTCAACATTCTGCATGATGGGTTCAGACGAATCAGCTGGCATTGCAGGAAACTGGTTTTCTTCCTTTTCATGGTCTGACTTCTGCACCATGGTTCCACTTTCTGACTCTATAAGCTTATCACCCTCCTCTACTGTGATCACTTTCTTTTCTTCTCCAGAAGCAATTTCTTCAGTTTCGGTACGGGCCGCATTATCATTTCCAACTCCTTCTACCTCAGTAATTGTTGGATGATTTGAAGGCTCAGTATTTTTCATCATATCCTGGGATACAGGTTTTTGTTGGGATGATTCAGACTGTCCAGATGTTTTTTCTTGTACAATGTAATTACCTTCATTGCTGGATTCAGACTTCCCTTCAAACCCAAGAGCGGAGTCAAAATTTTTCTCAATATTCTTCACACTCTCCTGAAGCTTATTCACTGCTCCCGCCAAATCAGGGAAGTTGCCCCATGAATTTGATCCACTAAACCAAGCCATCTTCAAACAAGAAACCAAAAAAAAAAGTCATCCCACAACCAATTCAAATCGCACCAAAAATTTTAAATTTTTATTTTACACAACTTCAGATCCCACTAGTCAAGAAAAATGAAACGGATCAAAAGCGATCAAATTCAACCCATGCACCACAAAATATCATCACTCCAAGCATCGGAAAACAGTAGCGTATCCGAAACTCATTCGTGTACAGAAAATGGGCACACCTAAAGAATACTAAATTAAAAAAAAATGCAAGTTAAAATCCGGCAATCTGTGAATAACAAAACAGAGATCAATGCAGAGAAATCGAATTCGTGAAGCGAAACAATGGATAACAAATGCGAACCTTGGTAGCCCGTGATCAAGCAACTGCCTTGGATCCGGGAATCAAATCATCGTCTCAACAAATTGAGCTCATACTTGCGTTAACGAATTTCGTTTTTAAAATGCAATATAAAGAAGATGAGGGGGAAAACAGAATTGCCAGTGAAATTCTCTGAACTCAAAGAAGCATAAGAAAAGGAAAGTGGGTGTGGGAAAAAATAGGAGAAGAGAGTGATATGGTATGGTGGAAAGGGGATGATTTGATGAGCTCTGCAAAAACAGGCGGTGGATTGTCCGCCGCGAAAATTAGCTCCCAGACCCGACGACGTTGGTGACGAATGCAACGGTAGTCGTATTAGGCTGTTTGTTTCTCTGTTTTGCTTTTTTCAGCCCAAAATTAGCGTCTCATTGAAGACCCAAGTCCTAACTTTTTGAATAATTTGTATTTTACCTGAATTCTTCTTGGAGTGTCCCAAGAGCTGAATCATAAAAATTTTTATATATGAATTTTTATTCAATTATATAAAAAAATACAAAATTTGTGATTGAAACTTGAATACCTTTTCATGAAATTTTAAAAATAATTATATGATTATAAAAAAAAAAATCAACCAAATCCATTTATCCATTTACGACCAACATGAGTTCATTATATTACACGGACAAACGAACCAAGTTATTCATAACTAAGAATCATAAAGTTTATTGTCAAAAATTTTATATTATACATAAATATATAGATTCTCTGTTTTTTTTTTCACTTTGTATAAAAGTCATCACATTTTTTTTTTATATATATAAAGAAATTTTTGGAAAGGGGTTGGGCTCACCCACAATCCAAGGACAGGGCGAAATCTCATCACATTCTATTGTCACTGTAAAGTAGGATAAATTGAGTTCATGCACCTTAAATGAGTATCAAAACTTAGCTCATGAACAAAGATCTTTTTCTTCTTTTTTTTTTTATATTGACTAACCATTTTTTATTGGGAAATAACATGTTTCTATTAAATAAGATTTTGTATAGAAACGTTATAATTTTCTACACATTTTTTAGTATTTAAATCATGTCACCATTTTACCATTCACGGCATAAACAAAGGCTTTGGCTGCTATGAGACCAGTTGCATCGTTCTAATTATTAGTTCTCAATGGAATTTCACTTATTTGATGATTTTATTTTAGGGCTCCCCAATATTATTTTATAATAAATTAGGAGGAGCTAAACTTTCCATACATACCCCAATCTCCCCTTGCCACTTAAACTAGCCTCAAGTGGATTGCTCCCCAATATTTTTTACTCTCTCATTACCCAACTTCATGATTAAGTAATCTTATTTGATGATTTCCATTTGTTCCAACTAATAAACTCTCCTCCATGGTACCACAAGCTATGGTCTTATTGCTCAAAACATCAAATTTTCTAACAGTTATACACATTTCAAAACTTGCTTTATAAATTTTTAACGAGGTAAAGTGTAAATTTATTTTAAAAATTTTTAGTCAAGAATGTTAGGCACTCAAAAGCTTTTTTGATTGCAAATTTGTTCTGAAATGTTAAAATTATAGCAATTTTACCTCCTCTCATTAAAAAAAATAATTTTGATTGTTAAAACAGTAACATTTTTAACCATAGAAACCAACATTATTGCAATTTTAAACTTCTGACACAAATTTAAACAAAAACTTTTGAACGCCCAGTGCTCTTAAATGAAAACTTCCAAAACAAATTTACACCTGAACTTTTTTTTAATTCACAATCTCAACATGCACTGAATGAGTTGGAAACCAGACACTTGACTTCTCATACGCCAAGACAACGAATGCCAGCTTTTAATTCTTTCATGTAATAATGGTATTAAACCAAGTACATTTTTTTTCCTTTGCACAGTCATTTAAGCCCGGCAACAAAACCCTCAGCTCTTCTTTTCCTTCCAACCCTCTCACAAGAACAAGTTGCTTGGACCTTAAGAATCTGCACCAAAATCACGCTCTATGGTTTAACTTTGGCGGCAGAATACACTAACCCAAGATATCTGAAATTGATTTGTTCAAGATTTGATACAGCTCCTGCCTGTATCAAGAAAGAACTTTCTAGTGAGAGAGTACACCATCAGCTTAGCAAATTTATTCTTTCTTTCTTTTTAGATATTCACTAAAATTGTGATATGACATGGCAGGTCCTGTCCTATTAAAGATCTTTATTAATATAGGATCATTCTGATGGAAACTTGACTATAGGTCACCAAATTCTTCTTACCGATCAGGCTTGAACAAGAGATAGCGGTAAGTGAACCACTGAAACAGAACAGAGAAGTTTCAATTAATTAGTAACTGTAAATTAATCAAGAATCTAGAAGTGCCAGAAATAGAGACTTAGAATGAAAGTGAATTTGAATGATCTCAACCTATGGCGTTTTAATTCCTCATGCATTACTTAGCAATGCCTAAATTATGAGTGCGGCACTTACTGAGCTGAACAGTATTCCAATTAATTCCAGTAGACCTGGGATGAGCGGCAATTTGTCAATGGCCTACACATAGAAGTCACAGATTGAGGAAAACAAAAAGAATTAAAACAACAAAGTCAGAGGACTAAATTAAAGACTCAATAGCTATATTTTAAAAAAAAAAAAAACGGGGAATGTGTTTGAAAATCAGTACTCCCTCTTACCCTCAATTTAGGATATAGAAAATTAATTCACATATATTAAGAAAATCAGTTAAGTTAGTTATTTGTTTTTTTTTTTTTTAAAAAAAAGTGTGGTGGTTTCCATAAAGTATCCCCCTTTAATCAGTTACATTGGAAACTACTTTTATGAATTGCACACATGAATGTGTACAATCAAGAAGGGTAGCTTGAGAGAAAAATAGTAAATATGGGAGACAAAAGGAATTGAGATGATACATATAGAACCAAAACAAACTCCTCAACCAGCTCCTATATCTAGGATCAGATGGAGTATAAACCTTAAACAACAATAACCTGAATTTCTGTTAAACTATGGTATAAAGGAAAAGTTTATCACCAAGCTCTTGTGGAACACTGTAACTGACACCTCAAGGCTAGCTTGGAGAGTTACAGATAGAAGGATATACCAAAAACCACAATCAGTAAACATTTGCTTATAGCTCAGATGTAACAATCCAAATCTAAAATGAATTTGTTCATGAGTCCATATCAACTTGTGAAACCATCAGCTCTAATCCTTGGTAATACTGTTTCCATGTCTTCATAGTTCAGAGCAGAAGACAGACTCATTTTCCAATATAATTTTAAAAGAAAAAAAAAATAGTGAGCATTACCGTAATCAGATTTACTGATGCCCAAAGTGCCACTACAGCTGTAAAACCCAAGCCAATTAGTCCCACCCGATCCTCAGGTTTATCCCACTGTTATTAAATAAACAAAGAAGAAATAGACAAGCAACTCAAGGTACTTTCTCTTTGTTTGAATGAGATAGATAAAAATAGATAGGTAGACATGAGAGTGAAGGTATGGAGAACTCACAACATTCTGAACAGACTTGATAACAGTAAGGGAGGTAGAAGATTCAGAACTTTCCCCGGTAGCCTTTACAGTAAATAAACCAGCAGGATGATTCTGTCTCCCTGCGGTGAGCGCGAATACCAGAATTCATGAGACAGAATTTAAGCGTAGGACACAGCCGTACCTATAACATTCACTAGCAATAAAATGAATAAGTAATCAAATGAATATCAACGATCATTATAGCTTCCCAGAGCAGCTCTCCCGCAGAAATTTATCAAGGACATTCACATGCACTAAATTATACTTTATAATCACTTGCAAACTAGACTTCGGATCCAATCAATTGTAAATTGCCATTATCTTCACTTCTACAAAGAAGTGATGTTATTCCGCAATCACGTGCCCGTATATTCCAGTTGAACATCTGTAGGTTGCAACTACATCGCTTGATCATGTTTTCCCAGCCTCCCCACCCACATCAAACACACTCATCTCCGTCAAAAATCAATTTCACAGGAGATTGGAACAGACAGTTAAGTATTTCTGCCAGATTACTCACTTGGACTTAAGCCACCTAAGCTTAAAATACCTAATTAACATTCAATTGCATGCTAGCACGGTTAAGCTGTGAATTTATATGAACAAATACATCTGGAATTAAATATTCAAAAACCCTTACACCGGCTGAATACACACAGGAGGAAAAAAAGAATAAGAAATTGACATCTGCAAGAAACGCAAATAGCCAAGACAGGGTTACCCGGCACAAGAAAAATAGGGGATCTTTTCAAGTTCCCTGAAAAAGGCTTTACACCATGGACCAGCAATGCCGGAGGCAGGTTAGCAGTAATGGAAGCCATTTGCCCTCAGAAGTTCAGCACAATCTTGTGAAAATGAACATAGAATATAAATTTTTAATGCATGGCCCGTCATTGAAAAACAGAGACAATCAGATGAAAGAAACCAAAAGTTAAACTTTGACATCAGGAAGCAAATTATAGAGGTTTACCTTCTGCTGCTTCTGCAGTGTGTGAGCCAAGGAGAGGCAGAGCTTCAGAGCATTCTAGTCAAACAGTATTCACCTTGAAAAATAATGGCCGCTTTTCAACCTTCGACTCGTTTCAGCCACAAAATGCTGAGAGGTTGGTTGGGCCTATCAAATCAAAAGCCTATGATCGATCATGGCAAAACGACAAACCATAAAAATGCTACTGTGCCGTTTAGTTGGGTCCGGGAAAATTGGCACTTAAAACTGTCATTGATTTTTCTTCCCCCTCATTCTATTGATCAAATTATCTTGTTCCAAAAAATACATATATTTTAAACTTGCCACACTAGTTGCAACTAAGTTTGATCATTTTATTCTAGTTATCAACAAAAGTATTAAGGTTTCTATGATATTCCTATGTTAGACAAGGGAGAAGAGAAAAATGTGATTTATAAAGTCTTGAATTGCTATCCAATCATGTATGGCAAGGGATTATATCATTCAAAATAGCTATAACATTTTATTTTTTTAAAATCATGGCATCTTTCAAGAAATAATTAGACCATTTTTATTTTAATAAAATTGAGAAAGAATGACAGTCAGATACCAAAATGTCAATTTAATGACAATTACATTCTTGATAAAAAGAATTTTAAGAAATGCATTGCAAATGTTGATTCAAACTATTGCATATTCTAAAGTCTCAATTACAAGGTATTTAAGTTTAAAATGTAATTTTCAATTGCAGCTGAGACTTCTATCTGCAACTGTATGAATTAATATTTGCAAACCATCTTTTTAGAAAATTTTGACTACGATCTAACTATATTTAATTTGATATTTTGGTCTGTAATTGTCATTCTCCCTAAGTTAATACTACTTCCAGTCATAAAACCTTATTTGTAGACTATAAACGAGATCTTATAATTAGGACTGGAAGTAGTGCATGCATTTGAAACATTCTAAGGTTAAATAAATTAACAGATAGATGTGAGACTAATGTGATCATCAAGCATTCATTTGTCATATAAACATGTCATATTTGACAAAATATTATAGCACTCAAAACAGTTCCAGCATTTTGGTGATGATAGTCACAGCATATTTCAAAGACAGGTAGACAGCAAAATCATATTCACTTTAAATGATGGTCCCTTTTTTTTTTTGTTCTTTTATATCTTAATATCTCAGCTTTGTTAAATTCTTCAGATCAAATGTTGTTTTGGGAATAATAGATCATTTAATAAACTCATTACGTTAACTCCTAATCAGTGACATGGCCAGTTCCTCCCTCCATAATTTCATTGCATACAGAAACTAGTTAAAACTTGTTTAGAATAACAGCACAATCTTTTAAAAGCAGTTTTTCAATCATAATTTATAAAATACGAAATAAATATATAAAAAAAAATTATTTCTAATTATGTAAATGAATACTTTTAGAACCTTATCGCAATTCCAAACAAGCACTTAATCATTTCTAATAGACATGACTCCAATAGGGACCAAGATAAAACAGTGGAATAATGACGCTGAAACTGATTTGGTTGCACAAAATACTTGGTTACGATACAAGATATCTCTTGAACACCTCACACTCAAGGAACAACACACAGAAAATGATGAAGGGTGTGTTTGGATAGAATCCAAACTATGGTTTTAGAAGTGCTTTTACGGATTACGAAGTAAATATGTGGAGGAGATTATCTCGTTTTGCGGAAAAGTGCTTCTGAAACCACGGTTTGGGGATACCCAAACAGGCTCGAAGAAAGACTCTTTTCCTCCAAACCTAACCTTGCTTTCGAGAAGCTAGTCCTCTCCTCACTACCCTCGATACAAAATAAGTCCTGCCTTTACCTGAGAACCCAAAAAATGTTAATAGTCCCAAAAAAGTGATCCTCACAAATACAACGCTTTCCTAGGTCAGGCCTATAGCCACCCTAGAGTAGCTAATATGCTCAGTATCTTTCTCTAAAAGAGAAGAAAGTCCAGGATAGCAGGAAGTGATTTTACCCTTTCATGTATCTTGCTAATTTTACTTTTATAGGTCTGGCGAGTAAAGCCAATTCTATCAGGCTCACGACTCCCTAGGTATGTGGAGTTCTGCTGGTTATGCTGCAGATTTTCTTTTAGGAGTTTTAGTCTATAAGTTTAGGTGTCTAGTGAATGTTTAGTGTCCTTGGTTTTTAAGCCATGACCTTGCTGCTACTTGAAAGAAGATTCATACAATAAAAGGTGTGGAACTGATCATCATTACGCTCCAGTTTCTACTGGTTATGTTTTCTCCATATTAAAATCTACCACTATATGTTTCATTATTCATGTTTCATGATGACTTATCTTTATTGTTGATCACCATAATTGTTTTCAATGGACCTAGATGAGCAGGAGGCCCAAAGAGCTCCATCAGGCACTGTCAGAGGATCAGATGATACCTAGGTTGTTCACGGACAATTCTCAATCTGCTAAGCGGATCAAACATTTGATAATAAGTGGAATCTTCGAACAAACTTCTAGGGCCTGTTTGTTTAAGCTTGCTAGAACAAATTGAAAGAACTTTAAGCTAAGCATGAAGAATTTGTTTGAAAACCTGTTTCCAGCTTATCTTGTTAAGATTAACCACGGCTCTCCCAACAAATCTCATGTTTAACTTAATGAAATTCACTTTTTTTAAGCTTAAACAAACAGGGCCCCTGATCTTGAGGATATTGTTTACCTCCAATGAACTTTCATTCTTAAAGAAGACCATTCAACTAGTTCTTGAACGTTCAAAGATCTCCCTAGGAAGGTCAACCACCAAATGAGACAACTAGTCACGATTCAGATTTATGCACATGAAGATGTTAAGGCTTAGTTCAATCCCTTCAACCAAGTGAGGCAAGCCGTGTTGGCTTACTTTTCTCTTTAGATGCCAAATATGCCTAACTAAGGTTTACTAAGAACATTTCCCGTTAAATGTTAATTTTTATTTCTGTGTTTGTTTCTTTCTTTTAGTTTGTGGAGAATATATATGAGATTCTTTCCAATTAGATCTTGCCTACCCTCCCTTTTAAAGAAAAAAATAATGAAAAAAATTGGAGCTTTTAGTTTAGAATTCTATCTCAAGCTACTTTTATTGATCTTTCATTAAGTTGAATGAATTGTACTTGAAAGTTTGTTATTTCTCTAATACTACAGACATATCAGTCCAAATCCTATTCTGTAATGACCTATGCAATTATGTCTTAAAGAAACTGTTAAAAAATGCTTTATGCCATAGAATCCTTAATTATCTGGAAAGTAAATTATCTGACATAAGAGTCCTTACAGAAACTACTGAACAAGGCCTTTGTATTGTACTTACAAGTTTGAATAAGAGATTACTCTTTACCTAACTGAAAATGAAGCTTGGTTTTCTCTTTAGAAGAATGATTATCAAATTTTACTCTATTGTTTCCACAGTAGAAGTGAAAAATGGCAGAAAATTAAAGGTTGCATGGACATATGAAAAGAAAGCCGCTAAGGGCGCTGGTAGAAGAGTTGAGTAAATGTTCTTTAGCCCATAAAAGAGATATGAAGAAAGATCAAGAAGGACACTCAAAAAATTTATCAAACCAAACAGTCTCTCGGTTAATGTGAAGAGTTAGCTAACAGAGCACTATGCAATTTATGTAGCCAGCCTCATTGAGTGGGATAAGACTACTTGTTGATGTTGTACGGATTCTAAATCCATATCTTGTTGGTCATCCTAGAATCAAGTTTTGAGTAAGTATCTAATCATTCAAGAAGTTGAACAATCTGATAAATATATTGCTTGCACTACTTGATGAATGACCAATCTTATGGATCCAAGCCTGCAATTTCTATTTCCAAATTTGTTTGCATTCTGTATTATTTTTTTATTAATGTCAATCAACTGTTAAAATTTGAAGGTAATCAGTTAGTTGTAGACTGGTAGTTGAAATAACAATATTATTTTAGTTTTGAATGGCCAAAGTTTCTAAATGGCAAAGCCATCGAAAAAGGATGTGGTGGATTTAGAATGAGTCAATATCTATAACTAATATTTGATGGTCCATTATTAAGCCTTCCCTACGTGATAAATTCTGATAGCAAACACATTGAATAATGAAATTTCCTAATGGCAATTTGCTTGGTGTGGATATTTAAGAAGATGAAAGCCAGCCTATAGCAATTTCATCGGTATGAATTGAATATAGAATTCAATTTTATGTGTTTGGTGTGAACAACGAAATTTCCTAATGACGGTTTGCTTGCTTTAAATATTTTAAGAGGATCAATAATCAGCATAAGACAGATTCATCGGTGTGAGTTGAATAAAGAATTCAACTTTATGAATAAGATATCAAATAAAGCTATTCATTGGTAGATCTTTTGAGTTGCCAGCCCCATTTTTCATAAATAAATAAAATTTCTACACAAGGTTATAACTTATAAGCCATATGATCCCAAGCTTGAAGCCAAGGAAATTGCATTAAAAAATGCCTTAGGAATTGAATATTTCTCTTAGTTACCTTAAATGGTGCTTGACACTAAGAGATCATGATCCAATATATCATATATTGTAGGTTCCATAATGTGAATCATTCCAACTGTCACCTAATTTTATTTGATCTTGATCTGCTGGATATAAATAAATATAAACATGTTTAGTAATAATCAGCTCAGTGGCATCATATGATATATAGAGCATTATTATATGGATAGTTCAAAATCCTTAGTTTTGTCCTCTTTTAGGTTTCATTCTCTGCCTCACTCACTCTGCAATGCCTGCAAAATGCTAATTGGAGGATAACATAAAAGAAGAATGTGAAGTCCTGATTCATATATCAGTAAGCTTACTAAGAAGGGACAAACAAAGATTAATAACAACCCATCCCTACATATAAATACTTATAATCATTTCATGCAATAGCATTGGCTCATGGCTATACATGAAGGAAGTCGCTTTGAAAACTTTGTACTCCTCTACCTCTTATATAATTAAAAGACTGTGTACTCCATATTTCCAAATCAAGTAGTTCAAAATTTACAAGTGACAGCTATATGGTAGCAAACAATTAAAGTTTTCTATGCTTAAGTCTTGTTCTCAAGAATCAAACCCAGAACTTCTTGTGCTGCA